CTAGGTTGGCAGGGGCAGGGACCGAGCAATGGGAGCTCACCTCGTCGCGGGGATTCAAACTGCCAACCTTCTGATCGGCAAGTCCTAGACTCTGTGGTTTAACCCACAGCGCTACCCGCGTCCCAAAAGCTACCTTGGGCAACCTCAAAAGATGCTTTAGAATACAGTGGTACCTCGGGTTACAGATGCTTCAGGTTACAGACGCTTCAGGTTACAGACTCCACTAACCCAGATATAGTACCTCGGGTTAAGAACTTTGCTTCAGGATGAGAACAGAAATCGTGCGGCGGCAGTGGGAGGCCCCATTCGCTAAAGTGGTACCTCAGGTTAAGAACAGTTTCAGGTTAAGAACGGACCTCCAGAATGAATAAAGTTCTTAACCCGAGGTACCACTGTACAAGTGGAGGCCCAGCCAGCTGGCACAGCTGGTGTACGGTTGCCATCTTTTCTTCTGACAGGGTTCCTTTTAGATATCAAACAGCAACACAGTAGCCTGAGATGTATAACATACAAGAATATATAAGAAGATCCTTGCTAGATCAGGCCAATGGCTCATCAAGTCCAGCATTCTGTTCTCACAGTGGCCAACCAAATGCCCGCAGGAAGCCTGCAAGCGGGATGGGAGCACAACCACACTCTCCCCTCCTGTGGTTTCCAAAAACATCATAGCCAACTTCACATATCTGAAGATGGCATGGAGCAAGCTTGTTGTCTCCTGCTCTGGAGGGTAGGACCCAAACCAATGGCTTCAAGTTACAAGAAAGGAGATTCTGACTAAATATGGGGAAGAACTTTCTGACAGTAAGAGCTGTTCGACAGTGGAACAGTCTCCCTCAGGAGGTGGTGGCCTCACTTTCCTTGGAGATTTTTAAGCAGAGGCTGGATGTCCATCTGCCACGGATGCTGTAGCTGAGATTCCTGCATTGCAGAGGGTTGGACTAGATGATCCCCGTGATTCCTTCCAACTGTACGATTCTGTGCTTCATGACCTTCTCATTGAGGATCCCTGATCATTTTTGGAGGACCTCCCCCCCCCCAAGATTCCTTAGAATATAGTCTGAAAACCTCTCCCCGAAAACCAACAGGAACATTCTAATTCTGCTACATTTTAAATTGAAAAGCTAAGGAGGCTATCAAGGGGATATATTAATTGCAAAAGGGGAGATGTGGGAATTAATTTCCAGCTCCTTCCAGAAGCAAGGCTTTTTACTTTTCTTTCTCCTGATCCATCACACCTTTTGTTTCCCTCCCCACCCCCCTCATTTTTTATCGCTCTCTTGGGAGCTAGCTGTCTATTGTTGCTGTTGATGCTATTGCTGCTCTTCTTCTGAGGAATCCATTAAAATTAATTTAGTGGCATAATGTTTACCAGGCATGCATACTCTCAAGATCACACAAGGGGCTAGACTTTGAAACCCGCAGAGAAGCTTGGAAGTTTTAAAATAACCCGATGCAGTTGCCAGTTTGCAAGAGTAAATTATTAGCTATATGCCCATCAGAGCGGTCAAGAGGCTTCTCGTGGGTTGTCTTTCCAAAGTATGGGGAAGCTAATACTCAGAATTAGGAATGCATTGCCTGAATACCCATGGCATCCTCTCTTGGTTTGGAAATCATTTATTTTTATGAATACACTTACATCCCATATTTCAAACAAAATGTTCCATGGCCAGAGATGTGAAGGTCTGGAAAAGAAACTGGAAAAAAGAGGGAAAACCTATCCCCCCCGCCCCTAATTTTCCAAGATGTCACTTTTCTATACCAGGCTGGGTTAGACAACCTGAACTAAAATACAAACAAAACTACAATCAAGGGGGGGTGGGGACTGCATGAAGAAAAGAAATCAATAAAATGGCAGACAATGCAAAATAATATGGCCGCATACCCTCCAAGATTTCTCTGCTAAAAATAACAATCATAATAATCATAATAATCATAAATTTTATTTATACCCCGCCCTCCCCAGCCAAGGCTGGGCTCAGGGCAGCTAACAACCAATAATAAAAACAAGTTGATTGAAATACAACTTAAAAAACAAGATTAAAATACAACATTAAACCATTAAAACATTAAAATGCAGCCTCATCACAGGAGGAGAGAGGAAAAAAGAAAGAAAGAGGGGGAGGGAGCCAAATTGATTCTAAGCCAAAGGCCAGGCAGAACAGCTGTCTTACAGGTCCTGCGGAAAGAAATCAGATCTTGCAGGGCCCTGGTCTCATGAGACAGAGCGTTCCACCAGGCCAGAGCCAGTGCCGAAAAGGACCTGGCTCTGGTTGAGGCTAATCTAACTTCCTTAGGGCCCGGGACCTCTAGGGTGTTGCTATTTATGGACCTTAAGGTCCTCCGTGGGGCATACCGGGAGAGGTGGTCCCATATGTACGAGGGTCCTAGGCCGTGAAGGGCTTTAAAGGTCAAGACCAGAACCTTGAATCTGACCCTGTACTCCACCGGGAGCCAGTGCAGCTGGAAAAGCACTGGGTGAATATGCTCCCACGGCAGGGACCCCATGAGGTGCAGCATTCTGCACCCGCTGGAGTTTCTGGGACAGCTCCAAGGGCAGCCCCACATAGAGCGAATTACAGTAGTCAAGCCTGGAGGTGACCGTCGCATGGATCACTGTGGCCAGGTCGGAACGGGAAAGGTAAGGGACCAACTGCTTGATGTGGTGAAGGTGGAAAAATGTCGCCTTGGCTGTTGCTGTAACCTGCGCCTCCATGGAAAGGAAGGCGTCAAGGATTACACCCAAACTCTTAACGGAAGGCAATGGCACTAATTGGGCCGCCACAAGAGGAGATGTCCTCAGGAAAAGCGGGACATTCTGGGATCAAATCAGAAACCAGATAAGCTTCTGTAAATCTGGGACTATCCCTGGAATATAAGGACACTTGGAGGGTCTGGGGCTGTGCACCACTCCTGATGAATCCAGGGTCGTGAACTGAATTGAACTGGTTCTGGTTGACCTGGAATTCTACTGGAGTGAGATGGGGTAGCCTTGGATTGGCCTGGATTGGGTCCACTTATGGAGTTCTGGCACTGTCAAGATGGGGGAAGTCTGGCAATGAGGATAAATGGGAGGAGTAGGACACAAGCAGCCTGCATGAGAAAAGCTGTTGTTTCTTGCCGCACTGGCCCTGCCATACAATCAAGTGATAAACCAAAAAGTTGACAGGAGATGGGATGAAAGCAAATATAGTACTCTTGATTTAAAAGAAGGGGAAACACAGAGTAACATCAGACTGGAAGATTCATCTATGGGTGAAAGGAAGTGATCCAGTTTAGCAAAATCTAACACTGATTTTTCAAGTAATACAATGCAATGCATGTATATTTGGATGTAAGCCTAGTGGGTGGTTAATCATGTTCATTAATTCCAGTAGTTCTACTCTGAGCAAAGCGTAGGACAAATGCCATAAAATCTGAACCTCAATTTTTTGTTCAGGGTTTTCGGAAAGAGGTAAACAGTCCGTGGGGCAGAGGATAAGAGGCTTTGCAGAAGGAAGGTGAGAGTCCGTTTCCTTTCTGAAATCTGTTATTTTTATTAATGGTTCCCTTTTCCCATTAATGAAAAAGCTATTTTCTAACTTCCTAGCATCCTGTCACCTGGCACTCCTTCCCCTTTCCTGATAGGCGACAAAATGCAGATATGCATGTGTTGTTTGGACGGTGGCAGGATTTATGACATGATAAAAGGGGGTGGATTTATGGCTCACAACTTTGTCTTTCGCTTCTGTCCAAGTCATGGATTTCATTGTCTCTTATTTATTCCTCAGGAGGGGTGGGGGTGGCTGGTGATTGTTTCCTTTAGATTCATGGCATTTATGTACTACTGTCACTTCCCCTCTGCACTGAGTTTTTTCTCCTTAAACAAAGAAACCGTTGCCTATTTTTAGCATAGAGATTTAGGGGACAGCTTTGGTCAAGAAAGCACTACCCAGCTCATCCTATGGGGGGTGAATATCATGCCAGGCTTACGCAGGATGTTTTGACTCTAGCAAACTTGGGTCATGTTTACAGAGGACGAACCTTGAAATATGTTTCATTGTAATCCAATATCTGGGACGCAGGTGGTGCTGTGATCTAAACCACAGAGCCTAGGGCTTGCCGATCAGAAGGTCGACGGTTCAAATCCCTGCAACAGGGTGAGCTCCCGTTGCTCTGTCCCAGTTTCTGCCAATTTAGCAGTTTGAAAGCACGTCAAATGCAAGTAGATAAATAGGTACCGCTCTGGTGGGAAGGCAAACGGCGTTTCCGTGCACTGCTCTGCTTCATCAGAAGCAGCTTAGTAACGCTGGCCACGTGACCCGGAAGCTGTCTGCAGACAAACACCGGCTCCTTGGCCTATAGAGCGAGATGAGCACCGCAACCGCAGAGTCATCCATGAATGGACCTAACGGTCAGGGTTACCTTTACCTTTTTAAGCATACCAGCATGAGTAGATAAATGGGTACCTCTGTGGCAGGAAGGTAAACAACATTTCCATACACTCTGATACCCATCACAGTGTTCCATTGTGCCAGAAGCAGTTTAGTTATGCTGGCCACATGATCTGGAAAGCTGTCTGTGGACAAATGCCGTCTCCCTCAACCTGAAAAGCGAGATGAGCGCTGCACCCTATAGTCACCTTTGACTGGACTTAATCGTCCAGGGGTCCTTTAACTTACCTTTTACCTATTGTACTCTACGTGGGGCCGCCCTAGAAAATGATTCAGAACCTGCAATTGGTCCAAAATGCAGCAGCCAGATCGTAGCCTGGGGGGGGGGGTCTCTTCAAAACTCATACAACCCTGTTTCTGGGTCCAATTCAAGGTGCTCACATTAGTGTTTGAAGTCCTAACTGACTCAGGCCCCAAATACCTGAAAGACCACCTCATTCTCTACAGACCCTCTTGGAAGGTGCTCTCTTGGTCAGGACTGGCCCAAGACATTTTGGCGCCTGAGTGAACCACAAAATGCCCCCCTCCCCCCAGGAAGAAGGAGCAAGTGAAGATTTTCATCAGGAACATGAGGTCTACTAAAGGTCTACATCAGGATCAGCTTCCTCTGTGGGTCTGCAACAGCATCCACAGAGGAAGCTGAGCGTGATGTAGACCTTTAGTAGACCTCAGAAGGCAGTCACCTCACCTTGCCTCATGGGTGGGCCAGGTGTGCTCTTGGTTGTTCCACTGCCCTCAGTGGGTGGCAGCCCAGGAGAGGGAATTCTCCATGGCAGCCTCTGAGTTGTGGAATTCCTTCCCACAGAGATGCATCTGGAACGTTAATTATACAGCTTTGGGCAAATGCTGAAGATGCGCCTCTTTACCGTGGCTTTTGACACTTGAGATGTATGTTTATAGGACCCACCTTATTTCTGCAATTTTAAGTCATTTTAAACTGTTTTTCATATTGTGCAACATTGTGTTTAACCTTAATGTTGTGCTTTAATTGTTGGAACCCGCCCTGAGACCTTATGGTGAAGGGTGGGTAATAAGAACGATGATGATTGAAATAATGAGAATTCACAAATTGTTGCTGAAATCTGGAGAACTGAGCTGAAGATTGAAAAAATAAAGGAAGAAAGAAACCAAGAGAGCAAAAAGTGACAGATTTATCCATCCCTGAATTCCAGTTAAGTGAGTAAAGGACTGCAGCCTTAATGTTGAAGAGACGTTTACTTGGAGTTCCTTCAATGTAGCAGCTTATAGAAACATAGATTCATGGAATTGTAGAGTTGGAAGGGACCCGAGGGTCATCTAGTCCAACCCACTGCAATGCAGGAATCTCAACTACAGCATCCATGCCAGATGGCCATCCAACCTCTGCTTAAAAACCTCCATGCTTAAAAACCTCCATGGAAGGAGAGCCCACCATCTTCTGAGAGAGTCCATTCCACTGTCGAACAGCACTTACTGTCAGAAAGTTCTTCCCAATGTTTAGTCAGAATCTCCCTTCTTGTAACTTGAAGCCATTGGTTCGAGACCTACCCCCCAGAGCAGGAGAAAACAAGCTTGTTCCTTCTTCCGTGTGACAGCCCTTGAGCTATTTGAAGATGGTATCATATCTCCTCTCAATCTCCTCTTTTCCAGGCTAAACATACCCAGCTCCTTCAACCTTTCCTCCTAAGTTTCCAAGGCTTGATGCTTCCATTAGCAACCCAGGAAGAGGAAAAAAAGAACCTGGACAGATGGTAATCACACCTTAAGCTTTACTGTTTAGCTTTACCCCTATCAAAGCTTTACTGTTCTGTTTCTGCCATTTTATATTATTTTGTGCCTGTCAGCTAAGATCAAGTGTGCTCTGGGATAGCATTCCGTTTGCCAAGGTTCGTGGTAAATTTGTTATATGAAGAATTGAGTGCGCGTGCACATGCACACACAATATTAATATTTGAAATCTCATACCCTTCAGCACAACGTGACCCAAATCTGGGTCCATCCTCTGGGTCCAAAATCCCAGATGCAACAGATTGCGGATCCGGAAAAAGCGTTTTTGGACAAGGTGCCCCAAAACATACGTTTGGGGGCACTGTGCAAAATTGCAGACCCCCAAAAGTGCTTTTTGGGGGCACAGCACCAAAAAACATTGATTTTGAGGAGCCGTACAAGATAGCAGACCCGAAAAGGCACTTTTTTTGAGGGGTGAAACCTCAGCCCCAAATCGAGAGAGAGCAAGGTGCCCAAAATGGCAACCATACTCTCACAGGAAAAAACGGGATATCTAGGGCTGTTGACAGGTATGAAATCTATTCATGCTCATGCTACATGTGAATGACAATGCCAGTACAGTGGTACCTCTAGTTACGAACTTAATTCGTTCCGGAGGTCCTTTCTTAACCTGAAACTGTTCTTAACTAGAGGCGTGCTTTTGCTAATGGGGCCTTTTGCTACCGCTGTGCTGCCAGCACACGATTTCCGTTCTCATCCTGGGGCAAAGTTCTCAACTCAAGGTAACTCTTCCAGGTTAGCGGAGTTTGTAACCTGAAGCGTTTGGAACCTGAGGCGTTTGGAACTCGAGGTACCACTGTACTTAGTTTCTTGTGTTTCCCAGTGAGTGGATTTCTGTAAATTCCTAGCACAGCAACTGGTAGTCCAATGACATGCTATGTTTCAATTTTGAGGTTGCATATAACCACCCTAATTGTAGCCATCCATAGAACCTAATCCAATTTTTAAGCCCACTAAACTCAGGGCCATTTCCATATCTAGTGGCAGCAAATTCCATAAATTAAATACAATTTGTGTGAAGAATTATTTCTTTCTCATCAGTCTGAGTTCTCTAGCAAATAAGTTTCAGTCGATAAGTAGATGCAAGAAGAGCCCGCAGGATCAGACCAATGGACCCACCTAGGCCAGCAACCTGTTCACACAGTGACTAACCAGATTCTTACAGGAACAACTATCTAATACGTGCAAGCTATAGAATGCTAGATTACATTTGCCTTCAGTCTTGCTCACTCTGATAAGACTAACTTCCAGTCCAATCTCATAAAATTCTTTTGGAGGCTGAGAGCTTTCCCTCTAATAAACAAGTGAATCTGAGCTCAGTCACAGACACAGAGCTCGTATTCTTCCAGACAGCAGGGCAATGAAATAACCTTAAAGTGTGCGAAGAAAGAGAGCTGCCAGTTTAGCTAACAGCTATTTCCAGAAATTGCAGTGCCAGTCTGGCTGAGATGGTCTCCAGCATAATATTCATGAAGACAGCCTACCCAAAATGTTTATGAGGCTGGAAAGAGACAATCGTCTCAATTTTTGACTCACAGAGTCAGGAAGCATTGCTGTATCTTGTGATACACCTACTGCATCTTATGATTTGAATCCTGCACATAATATTCATTGGATAAAGAGGGCAGTGGGATGAGATGGGATGACAGCGGGGTTGTGCCCAGTTATTCCTCTTTCTGAGCCCCATAGGAGGCAACTCCTAGGGGCCAAGGTCATCTGAGACCCTTCTTCATGTGCCCCCTCCATAGGAAGTCCAGAGGGTGGCAACCCAAGAACAGGGCCTTTTCTGCAGTGGCTCTCTGCTTGCAGAACGCTCTCCCCAGAAAGGCTCACCTGGTGCCTTCATTGTATTTATTTAGGCACAAGGTGAAAACATTTCTTTTTCATTAGGCTTCGAATCATTCACGGCCTTTTTGCAACCCCCAAACCAAGGAGATAAGTAAGTATACAACTTATCGGAGATATCTGAAGGCATCCCAGTATAGTGAAGATTTTTAATGTTTAATGCTTTATTATGTTTTTATATATGTTGGAAGCTGCCCAGTGTGGCTGGGGCAGCCCAGTAAGATGTTTGGGGTATAAATAATAACATTATTATTATTGTGCAATAGGACGTCCCGTTTTCATCGGAGAAATATTGGAGGGTATGTGAGAACTGATTTCTCTCTCCTCCTTCAGCTGGGCTGTCTCTAGCTCAGTGCTGACACACAGATTTTGTGTGTGTGTGTGTTGGTGCCTAGCACATTGCCAGGAATGCCATTGTGTGTGCAGTGGGGCCTCTGACATGAGTATGAATGAATTGCAAGGATTCAGTGACCGTGATGGAACTCAGCAGCTGCCCATTCCTTCTCAATGAGGCCAGCGGAATCAGAATAAAAGCTGCTGCTTTGAAATCTTAAACGGAGCTCTGGAGGATCATACTGGATGTGCATTTTTTTTTTTTAATGGATTGTGATTTTATGAATCTCCAGTCAGTCGGCAGCTAGCCGTGACTGTTCCCTCTTAACAATTCATAGTAGGCAGCCGTATTTGGCTGTTTTCTCATGGAAAGGGCACTTTTTAGGGGTCATTGAGATCAGGGACTGGTGGGTTCCTTGAAAACGTCCAAGTTGTCAGCAAAATAAATTGCAGAACTTGGTTTGCCCATCAGTCCTGTAGGACGTTAGCTAACACCTCTCAGTTGAAATCTTCTGTTTTCTTAACCCCCCCCCCCCAAAAAATATATATTAATTTAGTTGAATTCATTTACTTTTAGATTTTACTAGACCCAGTAGAAACATTTTGTCTCTGCTAGCAGATTATCAAAGAAGTGGGGTATTTCAAAATTTACTTTTAGCAGATGACCTTTGTTATATTGAGGATTCCACTCCCCACAAAGGGTCTGCTCCCACAAAGCTTAAGGAAGGTCTGGCTTTTATTGAGCATTCATTCTGATTTGCTTGCGGGGTATTTAAACATTCCCCCCTTAATCATTCATTCATCCCATGCTTTTTAATGCATTTTCCCAACAGCAAAAAGTCTGCTGTTTATTTCAAAAGTGGATTCACTGCAATAGGGCAACAGAGCGCTTTAACGCACCTTAATTGGCCAAACCTAAATTATCGGCATGCGCTTGAATCCCTCCTTGTAAAATAAGGACAGTCTGGGAGCACCTTAAAATTCACCTATTTTCCAATGGAAGAAGGCAGTGAATTTGGAGGGAGACAAGAAATGTACCTTCTTTAACTTGGGTTACTATTGTCTCATTCAAGCTACAATGAGACTTTAGAGCTATGATATTGACTCAATTGCATTGCTGCCTTTAAAAACTGGACCATATCATATTGCCGCATGAGCTATTTAGAATAGCATAGACACAAAATTGAACTTCATGATTAAGCTAATCCTATGAGTGATCAGGGACAATGGAAGTTGCAGCCCAGTAGAGGTTTGCCAGGAGAAACACCTCCCCACCCGCTTCAGTTGTCTTGTGAAAACTGATTTGCCTGGACAGGTCTTTACAACATGGATCATTTTCCTTTTACCAATCAGTATTTATTAATGCTTTAATTGATATTTTGTTGTTTTTATCCTTATACAGTCGTACCTCTTGTTACTTTTGCTTCAGGTTGAGCATTTTCATGTTGCGTCCCGTGGCGACCTGGAAGTAGTTAGCATGTGCAAAATGATGTCATGGGCATGCGCAGAAGCGGCAAATCATGACCTGTGCAGACGTGGGCCGCGTTCTGCTCATGTTGCAAACGGGACTCCGGAACGGATCCTGTTCGCAACCAGAGGTTCCACTGTATGTTGTACTCTACCTGCTATACTTTTCTGAAAGTGTGGATTAGAATCATAGACTTATAGAGTTGGAAGGGGCCACAAGAGTCATCTAGTCTCACCCACTGCAACACAGGAATCTTTTGCCCAACGTGGGGCTCGAACCCACAGTCCTGAAATTAAGAGTCTTATGCTCTACCAACTGAGCCAATGTGGGTTATTATAAATTTGTGGACGGCTTCCAACAAAGATTAAAAATACATTAAAATGTCACGCATTAAAAACTTCCCTGAAGGGCTAGCTTCAGATGTCTTCTAAATGTCAGGTAGTTGTTTATCTCTTTGACATCTGGTGGGAGGGCATTCCACAGAGAGGGCGCCACTACTGAGAAGGCCCTCTGCCTGGTTCTCTGTAGCTTAGCTTCTCACAGTGAGGGAACTGCCAGAAGGACCTCAGCACTGGACCTCAGTGTCCGGACAGAACGATGGGGATGGAGACGCTCCTTTGGGTATACTGGACCGAGGCCATTACAACCCATGGACTACCTCCTGTAAGTGCTTTCATTTTCATTTTATTTGTTTTATTATTATTTATTAAATTTGTATACAGTGGTACCTCGGGTTAAGAACCTAATTTGTTCTGGAGGTCCGTTCTTAACCTGAAACTGTTCTTAACCTGAGGTACCACTTTAGCTAATGGGGCCTCCTGCTGCCGCTGCAGCGCAATTTCTGTTCTCATCCTAAAACAAAGAGCCAGTGTGGTGTAGTGGTTAAGAGCGGTGCCCTCATAATCTGGGGAACCGGGTTCGCTTCCCCGCTCCTCCACATGCAGCTGCTGGGTGACCTTGGGCTAGTCACACTTCTTTGAAGTCTCTCAGCCCCACTCACCTCACTGAGTGTTTGTTGTGGGGGAGGAAGGGAAAGGAGAATGTTAGCCGCTTTGAGACTCCTGAAGGGGAGTGAAAGGCGGGATATCAAATCCAAACTCTTCTTCTTCTTCTTCTTAACCCAAGGTACTATTTCTGGGTTAGTGGAGTCTGTAACCTGAAGCATCTGTAACCTGAAGCGTCTGTAACCCAAGGTACCACAGTACTGCCCTTCATCCATAGATTTGTAGGATGGCCATCTATCTTGGATGCTTTTTTAAAAACACAACAACTGCACTGTAGAGGGTTGGACTAGATTATCCTTAGGATCCCTTCCAGCTCCATGATTCTATGATCTCAGGGCTGTTCACCACTGTCAGGGCACTTCACAACCTCTCAGGGCAGTTCGCAACCATACTGGGCAATTTCTGCCTTGTTATATTTTTACGTTTGCATTTCCATGCAGAGTTTAAAGGATTTCCCCTTTAAAATCCACACAGAAGTGAGGCAGGATGAACTTAGTCCCACCCCACCCCATATAGAACTGGAGTAAAACTGGATCATAATGGGCCCAGCAGTTCCTAATCAGTGCATCCCAAACGTGTTTAAGTTCTGTCTTGAAGCAGAATTCGATGCAGCCTGATCCAAAGCATGTTTACATTGAAATAAGTCCTGCTGTGTACATTGGGAGTTATTTGCTGGTATACAAGCTTACAATGCTGTGTTTAAAATAAGGTGAGTGAGAAAGAGAGTTGTATTGGTTTATTAGAAGCCAGAACAGCTGTTCTGAGTGAATGATAGGTCTAGGGAAGAAAGTGCTGTGTCATTATGACTCAGCCACCAGCCTCGGGAAGAACAGGTGGCCCTTAGTCACCAATGACATCAGCATCCCAAAGCGACGTGCATTAATTTGCTCTCTTGACATAAGAGGCCCGAGGTAAATATGATGAAAGAAGTTGAAACCAGCTGGAGCATATCGTTCAGCAAATGTGAATGAGCTCCCTCTCTCATTTTTTTTTAACTTAACTCACACACAAAAGAAAGGGTGACTAACTCTGGCTTCTCATATTTAATGTGGACCACACACACAAATGCACAGCAGTAAAATAAAAATAAAATGGATGTGAATCATGAGGAACAAACAAAAAAATAAGAGTTTAGAAAAAGTGTCAGCTTGTCAGTAGTTCTCCTAAACAATGAAGCAAGACAGGACTAGCCCAAGTTGTCATCTAAGTCACCCAGGACACGAAAACAACAGAGCAATTGGTTTGAAATGGAGGCATACAGTAACTGTATGTGAGTACAAACCTGTTTGCCTGCCCCTTTGGCAGCGACAATTGACCCTCTGTCAGGTGATATTAGGTACACTTGATGTTTATCAGGCAGTTGTTGGGGGTCCCATCACCCCACGCATCCACAGGCCCTGGACCCCCTGCACCAGGCAACAGAGATGGTGAGCCACTTGCCATTGACATTTCTGCTGCTGATGAGTGACCTCTGAAGTTCTCCTCCCTGTCCAGGGGTACCATCTACAGGGGGCTCTCTTTGTTGTCTACAAAATTTTTGTTGTGGATGTTCAGCACCCCATACCGCAGGGCCCTTGATGCAACTTCCAAGGTCTCACAAGACCATGCGAGACCTCAGAACCTGACTTCCAGTGGCACCAGAAGACAGGTTCTGAGGCTGGGGTGGGGAGGCACATGTGACGTCATGACGTGACATCATGACATGATGTCATGATGTCACGCACACTGGGAACCCATAACCTGGGGCACAAATCAGCTCCCCTGTCCCTGTCAGACACCATTATACCTCTGAATATCAGTTACTGGGAATCCCAGCACTGTTGTTTTCATATTCTGCTTGTAGGGTTCCTATGGTCATCTGGTTGGCCACTGTGACAACAGGATGCTGGATGAGATAGCCCATTGGCCTGAACCAGCAGGCTCGTCATATGTTCTTATATTATGTACAGCCTCAAAAATGGCCATAATTTCAGTTGTTTTCGTCTCAGCCTTGGTACTTACACCCAACACACACAACCTGAGGTCAACATTCCAAAGGATGGTGCCTAATTTATTTCTGAAAAGGTTAAATTGTAACTTACGCTCATGTTTGCATTCCACTTCTTTTGAGAAACCGTTTTTTTACAGGAACGATAACCTGCCTGCCTGGCTATTAGCAACTATACAATTAAATGGAGTCCCAACACAAGAGTGGAGCAGGAGGTTCTTATCCAAAGGTTATCTCCTGACCAAGCCAAATACCTTCTCTTGCTCCATTGACCCGGAGGAATTAGGAACAGGTGAACGAAGAACTAAGTGCTTACTGATAATATCAAAACACACCTAAAAATGCAAAACGACTAGGCTCCGCTTCCTGAACAGCAGCTCTGCTTTCACCTGTTTTGGCTGAAGTCAAGACACAGACCCCACCAAGAGCAGGAAATGGGGTCCACTTGGGGAAAAAATCCAGGAACTTATAATGGTTGTGTTTGGAATGTCAAACTGGAACACAGAGAAACAACTGCACATGGTAGAATTATCACAACATTGTTTCACTCTGTCCTCCGCTATGGCATTTTAATCACATACAGTAGTTAAAAAAAATATTATTGCATTTTAGACCCATTCAGGATATTTCTATTAAATATAGCCTATCAGCCTCTGTATCTGCATGAACAGGAGAGCTGGACAATACTGCATTATGACTTTTCTACCCTAACATGGGGAAGTCCATAGATCATCAGCAAAGTCTCTGCTTTGCATACAGGTTAAATCCCTGACATCTTCAAGTAGAGATGGGAAATATCTGCTGTCTGAAACTGTAGAGGGCTGCTGTTAGTCTGTGTAGACAACACTGAACTAGATTTACCAGACTCAATATCAGAGGTTTGCAGCCTCACAGGACTAATTTCAGTGCATGCTTTTTACAAGTGTGTAGCACCTTTTACTAACTTTTATTCAATGCAATCTTTCATGGAGTCTGACATTCACAGGGGAATTGCATGCTTCTCTTAAGCATGCGGTTTTATTTGGAAACAAAGTTTAAAATGCAAGCTACCAAAAGGAAGAAAAACAACGCAATGAGATTAAAAGGGGAAAGAAATTGCACAGATTATAGTGTGGATTATTATCATGGAGTTCTGGAATACGGTTGCTGATGGCCTCCAGGATTTTCTTTGCATTACATAGCACATAATACCTAAAGTTATGCTTCTTTATGGTCTTGGACTCAACAACCCTAGATTCCTGATAAAGAGCTTCTCAAGAAATTGCCTACAACAATGAAGTCATGTATACAGTATGTAACTGGAAGTCTCCCAAACAATTTTATAAACAGGAGTGGATTGATAAAACTTGAAAGATCATGTTTACGTACAAAGCTTACTTAGGAATCCTAGCTTGTTTTGCTTTGTTTAAAAAAACATTAGAGTGTCATGGTTTCCATTCAAGTGGGCCTCCAGATGTAGATGACTGTCAGCTTCAGTAAGTATATGCCCAATAATCTTGGATTATAGGAATTGGGGTCCAACATCTGGAGGTCTTTAGAGTCTCCATCTCTGTGCTATGTGAACTTACATGGGAAGATCCTTGTTGGAGCAGAACAAAGACCCATCTAGTTCAGTGTTCAAAGAGATGTCCAAAGAGATGGGAAGCCTGGAGCAATGATCTGAGTAGGACAGCTTGTGCACCCTAGCAGCTGGAATTCAGAAGCATGCATCATTCTAGGCAAGAATTTGTCTAAGTCATTGGATAAAGAGCAATCTCTTTCTCCATGGGCAGATCACTTGGCTTCTGTGCTGCACAGTAAGAAGAAGATATCCCTCTCACATGGACAAGGGCTCTCCAGCGTTACTGGCAGGGACCTTCACCAGCTCTTCTATGAGATGCTGGAAATTAAACTTGAGACCAACGGAATGCACAGCCACTACAGTCCTTCCTCAAAAATTTCAGAGCCGTTAAAGCCAGTGGCTCCCCATCAGTGGTCAAAATCAGAACCTCGCAAGTAGAGTTCTTTGACTTGAACCAATGGCTTCAAGTTACAAGAAAGGAGATGCTGACTCAACATCAGCAAGAACTTTCTGACAGTAAGAGTTGATTGACAGTGGAATGGTCTCCCTTGGAAGGTGGTGGACTCTCCTTCCTTGGAGGTTTTTAAGCAGAGGTTGGGTGGCCATCTGTTCAGGATGCTGTAGTTGAGATTCCTGCATTGAGTGGGTTAGACTAGGTGATCCTAGGGATCTCTTCCAACTCAGCAATTCTATGATTCTATGACCACCAAGCAGAGCATAGGGGGAAATGGGTAGATTGGTCCTTGGCCTTTATTTTTCTCAAATGGTCTGTCCCTTCT